CATTTGAGTTACGTATCCAGCCTTATTTTGTACTTTATTTAGAGACAGGCTGTCACTGAGTTGCTTAGGGTCTCACTTTTGCTGAGGCTGGCTTTGAACTCATGATCCTCCTGCCTCAGCCTCCTGAGCCACTGGGTTTACAGGCGTATGCCACTGCACCTGACCTGTTTCTTTTAAAATGTTAGATCATATTATTTCTGTTGGAAATCTTCAAATGGCTTCTCCTATCACACAAAGTCCTTAAGATGGCCTACAAGGCCACATATAACGTGACCTTCTGCTTACCTAGCTGACTTCCCCCGCTCCTAATTTCTGCCACAGATAACTCTACTGTTCTTTGAACACTGATTCCCTAAAGATCTTTGGAGTTTTCTCTTCTAGGAACTGTTAACTTCCCTTATGCCTATCCTTAATTTGTCACCTTCTTAGTAGTCATTCTTTACTAATCATCTTATACCATGTCCCTCTTTTTCCCTCTAATTACTTTTATTTTCATTCCCCTTAAGTGTTTCTCTGTAACACTTACCGACATACTATATATTATTGTCTCTTTCCCCATGAGGATAAGGACTTGGTTTGCACATAGTAGAAAACTAGAATGATACGGCACACAGTAGCTACCCAGTGGTTGATTGGTTTAGATTTTTTTGTCTGTGATAGGAATTGAATCAAGAGGTACTCAGCCACTGAGCTACGTATCCTTAGTTCTTATTTATTATTTATTTTGAGACAGAGTCCCACTAAGTTTCCAAGGTTGGCCTCAAACTTGGGTTCTTCCTGCCTCCTGAATAAGTGGGACTATGGAGGTACACAGTATACCCAGCATCCAGTGGTTTTTGACTAGATGAATTATTTATTTAAATTTGGCTATGTGCCAAAATATTTTAAATTTAATGCTTTATATTATAACTTGACTGCTGAATCAGTATCACCACAGATAATTTTCTTTGCTCTGACTCATATTAATAAAACTAACTATGCTATTAGTGTCTTTTAAAGCTTTGTACTTGGACAAATTGTATACCTTTTATTTAGCAGAAATAAACTGATAATAGCATTAAAAATGCCCCCTTGTTTGGGGGCCACTCATGCTGCCATTTCCGGTTTACCTGGGGCTAGAAGGCAATATTGAAATGTCCTTAGCTCTCCCTTATTTCCAAGCCATTTCTACTTTTTTTATGTACTGATGATTGAACCCAGCAGTGCTTTACCACTGAGCTACAGCCCCAGTCCTTTTAACTCTCCCTAGGTTTACAGGTTTTTGCCAGCCTCAGTTATATTTATTATCACCTTAACTGTTTGCCAGCCACTCACACCCATAGCTTGTCTTACTGTTAGCCACAGTTATTGTATGTGAGGTTTTATACTGAAATCCACTCTGCCTTTATGTCTCTTTTGCTCCTTCCTGAACATCATTGAGACATTCAGGTGTGTGACTAGTTTTTCCTCCATTTTGTTAGCTCTTTGTCTTACCTTCCTTCCCTACTTATCCTCAATACAGCAAATACCAGTCAGTGTTCTCTCGGAGATCCTGATGCAGGCAGTTTGAGGTGGGGCTCGGGAATATAATTTTAAGTTTCCAGGTAATCTGATGATAAACCAGGTTTGGGAACCCAGCTAACCATTATTGATAGTCAGAACTATTCTTTGATCATTTTTTTTTTTTTTAAACCAGAGATTGAACTTGGGGGAACTCAACCACTGAACCACATTCCCCACCCCTATTTTGTATCTTATTTAGAGACAGGGTCTCACTAAGTTGCTAAGCACCTCACCATTGCTGAGGCTGGCTTTGAACTCACTATCCTCCAACTTAGCCTCCCAAGCCGCTGGGATTACAGGCATGCAACCTACACCCAGTTGATCATGGTTTTTAGTAGCTTTAGTACCTCTTTTGGAGAAGTCCTGATCTGAATCTTGGTGGAAGTTTGAGTCCTACAACCATGCCACTACCAAACCATAGTCTCCAGCACGGTCTCCTTAGCTCTTTAAAGTAGTTTACATTCTTTTCAGGAACTGTTTTAGACTTTTCCCATTAAGCCCCTATCCTCTCTACATTTCCATGCTCAGTAATTTCCTTGGCTCTTATTTGCTTGGGAATAGGCTGGAAAAAAGACCAACTAGACTTCTTCTCATGGAGGTTATAGTTTCTTCACCTTTAAAGTAATCTACAACTACACTCTACACTCATCTTTAAGTCCACTCTTCAGTTAGCAGGAGGCCATATTATTCTTTGTTGAAGGCAAATACTTATGCTTTTGATTCTGTCCCCTTTTAATCATCTTTTTTTCCTGGATTGTTAACCTTTTCCATGGTCTATAAACTATTTCATCCTTAATAAAAACCGTTCTTGACCCTGCCTCTACCTGGAGCCACTTCTCATCCTTCTCTAGTTTTTTGATGCTCTTTAGCTCAGTACAATTTGACTTTTGCCATCATCACAACTCTTAAAAGTGTTCTTAAGGGTTACCAAATGCAAATGCCAGTCTATACTTTCCAATCCCTTTCCTACTGTTTGTTTTCTTCCTTCTTGAAATTCTTTATTCCTTTGGCATCTCTGACAACATTTTTATTCAGTTCTTTTTCCTCTTCTTTCTTGTGGACATCTCCTCTCCACTCGTAAATCTTAGTTTTCCCAAGATGTTAGTCTTTGGGTTATTTTCTAATCATCCTTTGTTCTTCCTAGTTAACCCTATCCACTCATGGTATGACTACCACTCACATGAATTGTATTATTTCTCTCAGATATCAGACTTCTATTTCAGCTTCTTACACTTTGGACTTCATAACCAATTATCTTTTGGATATCTTGTTTATTTGAAATAACTTTTTAGTTTTATCCCACTACAGTGCCTTTTTTTTTTTTTTTTTTTTGGGGGGGGATACCAGGGATTGAACCCATTGGGGGCTTAACCATGTCCCCAGCCTTTTTAAATTTTCAGACAGGGTCTTGCTAAGTTGCTGAGACTGGCTTTGAACTTGTGATCCTTCTGCCTCAGTCTTCTGAGTTACTGGGATTACCAGCAATCATCACTTTCCCCAGTCCACTAGCAGCTTTTGCAGCACGTCTTCTTTCATATTGAAGTGACATTATCCAGCAATTTCTTTCTTCTTTTTTTCTTGCTACTGGGAATTGAACACAAGGGCACTCAACCACCGAGCCATATCCCCAGCCTTATTTTGTATCTTATTTAGAGAGACAGGGTCTGAGTTGCTTAGTGCCTCACCATTGCTGAGGCTGGCTTTGAACTCAGGATCCTCAAGTCTCAGCCTCCTGGACTGTTGGAATTACAGGCACTGTAATTCCACCCAGCTGCACCCAGCTTTATCCAGCAATTTCTATTCCCTAACCTCTCTTACCTACCTGATGATCATTTCTAAGTATTTATAGCTCCTTTCAAGCCACCTATGAGAATTATTACGATTAGTTTTTGTTTTGTTATTTTAAAATCCAAAAGGTAGGCTTTAAGGTCCAAAAATGTTCTCACTAAATACTCCATAGCAGTAGCATAGCACTCTATGGATATTTAATAGGTTGAAATAGTTCTTTTTAACAGGAAAGTTAAGTCACAGTAGACTTTTATAGTGCTAAGTAACTTCCTATTTTTGTATATTAAAAATGTAAAGCCCTAAAACATGACTTGTGATTTTCCCAACTATTTTTAGCCCTTTTTTCTGAGGTATTTATTTTTATTAGAGCTTTATAATTATACACAATAGTTGGATTCATCCCGACAAACTCATACATGCATGGAAATGGATTTCAGTTCCATGATCCTCCGCTTTTCTGTCTTCCATCCCCTCTCCCATTCTCCTGTTAGACTTCCTTATGTTTGTCTACTAGTTTGTATTTGGTTCTTTATGTGATTTTATTCTTCCTTCCCCCTTTCCTTTATTTTACTCTAGCTTCCGTATGAGAGGAAAGCATTCTACCTTTGAGTTTTGCTTATTTCATTTAGCATGATAGTCCTCATTTCCATCCATTTTCCAGAAAATGCCACGATTTCATTCTTTATGTATGAGTAGAACTCCACTGTCTATATACACACCACAATGTCTTAATCCATTCATCTATTGACCAGCATCTAGGTTGATTTCATAGTTTAGCTGTTGTGCTGCTAATAACATTGATGTGGTTGTGTTGCTGTAGAATGCCGATTTTAGATCTTTTGGGAAAATACCAAGGAGTGCGATAGCTGGGTCATATGGTAGTTCCTTCTCTAGGTTTTTGAGGAATCTCCATATTGCTTTCCAGAGTAGTTGTATTAGTCTGCAGTCCCACCAACAATGGGACAAGTGTACCTTTTTTAGGAGTCTTAACTATAAATTAAGGTAATCTGATATCAAAATATTGAAGAGAGTTTCCATAACCAAACCTGGATTTACTTAATGTAATAAAATGCAACTCAAGATAATTCTATAAACTATGGTGCAACAAAATTTTTCTTTTTGGTACCAGGGATTGAACTCAGGGGCATTCAACCACTGAGTCACATCCCCAACCCTTTTTTGTATTTTATTTAGAGACAGGATCTCACTGAGTTGAGTTGCTCAGTGTCTTGCAGTTGCTGAGGCTGGCTTTGAACTCAGAATCCTCCTGCCTCAGCCTCCTGAGCTGCTGGGATTGCAGGCATCACCACTGGACCTGGCAATCTTTTTCTTAAAGAGTGGCTCAAAACAATCATGTTAACTTTTCCCCACAGCTCCTGAGTTTTACAATAAGATTCATTTAGAGATTCAATTAATCATTAAGCTAATTTCATTATTGTTTATATCTAAGTAATTATATATATATATTAGCTAATATGTAAATATTAGCAAGACTTAATATTGACCAGACCTTTAATAATACCATTTTTCTGTTTTGAGAAGATCAAAGCTATTGGCCAGACAGAATTGAATGCAAGCAACCCAGAAGAAGTGTTACAGCTGGCAGCACAGAGAAGGAAGAAAAAGTTTCTCCAAGCAATGGCAAAACTTTACTTTTAAGCAGTCAAAGCTTTTTAAACTTTTATTTTTTAAACAATGGGCTTAAAATAAACAGTATTAAAAGATTAAGTTTATATAATACATATGTACACATTTAGTGGTGTTTTCTTTTCAGACAATACAGAAACAAATAGTTTAAAACTATACAAAAGACTTCATACTATAATAGTAACTTTAATTTACAGTTTCTTCAAAGGGAGAAGAGATTCACATTAGGATAATGCTTTAGTAATTAAATCGACTTTTTGAGGCAAAAGCTAATTTAAGGTAAGTAGTAGCTAGTCTATATACAGCAAGTTCTTATGTCTTTTTAATAAATAGACTTGTGGTATACATTTAATATTTTTCTGCCTTAATAAAATAAGTGTTAATCTTTATCATTTTGACGCTGTCCTTATCTCATAATGTAGGAATTTAAATTGGACCTTAACAGTTTTATAAACATAAATAAAGCCTTAGTCACACTAAATTAAAAAAAAAAAAAAAAAAAGCCTTAGGGATATCTTAGAGTAATAAAGTGACTTTCTCATATAAATAGTTTGAAAAGGTACTTAAGACTTCACCCAAATTGTGATATACAGAAAGGTCATTATAAAGCAACCTATATATCAATAAAGCTCCAAGTAGGAGCCACAGCATTTATCTTTATTTTTAATTTCTTTGGTACTCCCACTGTTTAGAGCAGTTTAAAACATCCTGTTCATTGAAGCCTTATTGGTTAAAGAATATGATGGCAAGGCAAATAAGAAAGTTAAAAAAATACATTAAATCTTACCATTTGTAAAAATTCAAGTTTTATAATAGTTTGCTACTACAGGTTTAGATAAATTAGTCACCTTATTACAAAACTAAGTCTTGGTAAACAAGTTTAAATTTTATTTTCAAGAACCAAATTGCACTAGTTAAGAGTATAGGAATTTGAGAATCTAAAGCTAGATTCAGAATATTATATCAATGTACCCTTTAAGGTAGCACTTATCTAGTCCAAAACTGCAATGATAAAATTCCTTGTTTATCAAAATAAACATAGTAACACTGGATCCAAAAATAATTGTGGCTGGCTTCTCTCCAGTAGATTTGTGAATGAAGTCATCTTTGTAAACATGTTCAGCCTTCTTTAATGGCTAATATAGGAAGTGAATATCTTCTTTAGTGCCAATTTCAAGTGGTTTTTCAAAGAATGGCAGTGTCACTTCTGAATTGCCAAGGATAATCACAGCACTATTTTCCTGTAAAAACTTTAGTTCAGTTGTATGAAATTCTAGCAATACTTGCTCAGTTTCAATTTGCTTGTCAAGTAACTCCTTTAGTGTTTTCCTGGTGGTTTTTCAGTGCTCTTCGGTGGTGTCATAATGCCCCCATTGCACACTGGTGACAGCTGTCCCCCTTTTCTAAAGGTGTTTACATAATTTACTTCATCCTATACATGTGAAGAAATTATATAGTGATTAACAGCTAAGATAAAGCACTGATACAGTAAAACAGTCAAACCAGATTTCTAGTATCTTTTTGAGATTATTCTGACCAAATGCAGTCGTCCTTTTATGTCTTTGCAACTGTGAATTCATTCTGAAGGTTCAATAGTTTGAACAGTACTATGTGTATATGTGAATCTTAAACTCTTTTGATTAAAAAAAAATGTTCTTGGGTACTAGGGATTTAACTTAGGGGCAGTTTATCATTGAGGTATATCCCAAGCCCTTTTTCATTTTTTATTTTGAGATAGGGTATGCTAAGTTGCTAAGGCTGGCCTTGAATTTCTGCTGCTGCTTCCGAGCTGCTGGGATTGCAGGCATGCACCACTGTGCCTGGCTAAAATAATTTTATTAACTTCTCTACACTCTGAAAACATGGGGCCCATTACTTTCTCTTTATAACCGCTGAAGTTGCATTCCATAGTATGCTGTCAGTTTCAAGGCTTACTAGATAGCAAAATCAAAACAAAAAACCCACAAGACATACCAGCATAGCCAAATAATTTGTATGTGTCTGGATATTATGTCTGTCTTCCATAGGTATCTTCTTAAAAGTCTTTAGCTTCACTGGACTAGTACTTTTTACTACACTGACAAAAGGTACCATCCAGTCTACACATTCTGAGATGATGTCCCATTCCAAACCTAGATTGAAAAAGTTGGAAAATTCAAGGCTGTACATCACAAAATTTCTTACATATACCTAAAGTAGTTATTTAAAAAGTCATTTTAAAACAAAATCAGTAGGTCAAAACAGATTATCATGCTCAGACTATTTTTTTAATAATATAACTAATCTTAAAGGGACTTTAGATCAATTTTAATCAGTGTCTTCTACATATGAATTTGTAAATTTTTAAAAAATATTTTTTAATGTGGTGCTAAGGATTGAACCCAGTGCCTCACATATGAGAGGCAAGTGCTCTGCCACTGAGCCACAACCCCAGTCCTGAATCTGAAACTCTTAAATTCCAAAGAACAGCCAAACTATAATTGTGTATTCATTTCAAATGGACTTAAATTTTATTTGGCCTTTGTGAGTTGTGAAGACTCAGTATTATAAAGTATTTCTAAGAGAGAAAGAAAGATAATCACTAAACTGCTAACTTTGGCAGAAGTTGTGAACAGGTAAGAAGAAAAAATTGTGTCTTACCTGAGGCTTTCTTAACCACTTCAATGGAGGTAAAATGGCACAAGGCAGCAGCTGCCAGTATTCTGTACTGGAACTCTAAGGAGTCAATGGCTAAAATACACAGATCTAAAAGCTAACAAATGAAAAAAGTATAAGTAATTTAGGATAAGGATGAGTACTACATGTTACTACTAAAATCGGCTAACATTTTTTAGGGTATATTGGACCCTATGCCAAGAATTGTTAAATTGCTTAAGGATTAAAAAATAATAATAAGTTACCATCCTGAAGGAAGTCAGGTTTGTGGGTAGTAGGTCAGGGAGTAACTACTAGAGTAGGAAAGGACTGTTGTGCTGCAGTATGATGGGAGAAAGGGCATTTAATCCAGATTGGAAAAAGTAGTAAAGACTTCTGATGCCTTACATGACTGTCTTAAAGAGGATAGCTGGGAAGATTTGAGGTAGAACAATGTGACTTGGAACTGAAGTAGTTTGGAAAACCAAAGGTGGAAAGAAATAGGAAGTACTTTTCCTTTATTTCTTATCCAAAAAAGGGGGGAGCTAGAGGTCCAAAGGTGGATAATTAAATCTACTCCTCCTCTAGTACCTTTGTTAGACTATTTGTTATATGCTGACCTAGGAAAATTTAGTTTGAATGCAAGTTTTAGATCCTATGAATAAGTCTGATGAAATGTAACTTAAATAGATAACATGTGCATTCAAGTATACAGCAAACAAGAGAATCATACAGAATAAATCCAAAATATTATAAAGTTAATGACAACTAGCTGAAAAGTGCTTTTCATCATTTGATATCAAAAAGAAATATTTAACTCTATTTTGGACTCCTAAAGAATGAAAGTACTTGTGAAAGTTTAAGAACTTTGTTGTCCAGAATTATTAAACAACAAATATTGGGACATAATTTTACATGTCCAAAATTTTGTAGTCAAGAGTATTTCAATATGCCAGTATTTTGTTGTGTAGTCTATTTAAGACTATATATATTTTAAACCTGTAATAAAAGTAACATTAAATATATTCAATAACAGTGTAAATACCTGAGCTATTTGAATGAATGTTTCCTGAGAATACTGAGGTAGAAGTACTTTAGGAGCATCCTTAAGAGCATCAACTTGGAGAAAGAGATTTAACCAGGAGATGACTGTTACAGGACAAAGTTCCCATTTTAAAGCCTGTTAATGAAATTTTAAAATGCCCATTAATGAATGTACATATACCTATGCCACATTACATAGAATGCAGAGGTTAAATAAATTTCCCTCCCAGCCACAACTGTTTTGTTTTGATGTATTAGAACAAGATGCCTTGTTCTAATCTAATAATACATCTAAAACCTTAGTTTTGACTACTTATAGTATTCTGAAATAGTTACAAAGTCACACCTAGAAATAAGGACATAATTATTATTACCTTTAATATAACGAGTTCCATCCTTAAGATATCCTCTTCACTGCAAGCACCATCAGTGACATAAGCAAACTCTTGGAGTTTTGGAGCATAGATTTCCTTTAAATTAGAATTTTTTATTAGGCCCAATTGAGATTGACATTAAAAGAATTCTATACAAACCACATACAGGCTTCAGTTTTAAGAAATTCACAAAGTGATTATAAATCTTAGTAAAATTATTCTATAACTCAACCTACCTTAGTTATTTTTCATATCTAGATATCTAAATTGGTAACTGTTATCAAGATTTATTTTCTTAGAATTGACTTTGAATTTTAGTTGATAAACAACTAGAGTATCTTAACCAGTTGTTTCAGTTAAAAAACAAAATCTTGCCGCACACAATGGTGTATGCCTGAAATCTGAGCTACTTGGGAGGCTGAGGCAGGATGATGACAAGTTAGAGGCCAGCCTCAGCAACTTAAGTAAGATCCTGTTTTAAAACAAAAAGACCTGGGATGTAGCTCAGTGGTGGAGTACCCCTGGGTTAAATCACCAGTACCACACATACACAAAGCTAAACTTGTTTTAAGATTGCCTAGTATGTTGGTCTTGTCACACACTTGTGACTTTGTTAGAGCATGCCCAAGCCCTGGGTTAAATCCCTAGCACCACAAAAAAAAAAAAAAAAAAAAAAAAAAAAATTGAAGTTTGGCTGACAGGTCTTAGAGAAGATCTAGAATGATCAAAGGATTAGAAGAGATATCTATTGAGACTTGCAGGTTTGAAGCCAGCCTTGGCAATTTAGTGAAACCATGTCTCAAAAATAAAAAATGAAAATGGGCTGGAGATGTAATTCGGTGGGAGAGCACTCCTTAGGTTCGGTCAATAGTATTGAAAAAAAGTTGAAGTCTGCCATATAGGACAGGTTAAATATCGGGTTTCAGTCTAGAAAGACACCTCAAATAGTGTGATTTCACATAATTTGAGTGATGAGTTGACTACAAACCGATGTGCCAAATTTGGCAGAACTTTGGAATAGCCCTTATGCTCAAAAGACACAGAAGGAAAATATAGTTCAGGAAATTATATGATCATTTCTTTCATTTGATTGGCTCTTTAGTTTTCAAAGACCATTCTATTGCAACCAAATGCCATAATTATGTGTATAAAGACAGTATTTATATCTCATTTGGCAGAATAAACCACAGAACATTTCACCTAGATACTAATCTCAAAGAGTCTAAATGAGAGACTTATATAGGCTCAGACACCACAGAAGAACTATGATATATTTTTTTTCCAATTCTATCATAATGTTCAGAAAATGTATTAAAGAACAAAATCATTCACTCTAAAGAGTAAATATAAAAAATTATGTATTCTCTGGGATTCATGTGTTAACTGGAAAACAAGTTTGGGATCAATATATTGTGGATGAACTTTGAGAACTCACCTCAAGTTTGGAAGCAATGAATAATGAGGTAATTCCAATAAGTTGAAGCATATTTTTGTTTATATCCTTTTGTGTCAACATAAATCTATCAAAAAAATCTTGTGCAAGATAAAATGTTTCCCTATGAAGTGTGTATACTTCACATACCTAGAGAAAGAAAGAGTCCAAACATTTCACAGTTACTCTCATATTTTCTCCAATTTAGAAAGTCATCTCAGCATACTAGACTAGAATGTTTTTAAGCCACACTTTGCTTTTTAGTACCAAAGATAAGATAGGAGAGAAAAAAATTTAACATGTACTAATAGGATAAAAAAGCCTACTATGGTTCTTGTTTACTCTTCAGTACTTTTATAGTTTTTTATTTTTTATTTTTAGTACCATAGATTGAACCCAGGGGTCCTTCACCACTGAGCCACATCCTCAACCCTTTTTTATTTTTCTAACTTTTGAGACAGAGTCTTGCTAAGTTGCTGAAGCTGTCTTTGAACTTGGGATCCTCCTGCCTCAGCTTCCTGAACTGCTGGGATTGCAAGCATGTGCCACCATACCCAGCTTTTTTTTTTCCTTCACATTTTTACTTCAGTTATTTTTCATATTTTACTGCACTGGCTAATGGCTAAGAGTCTAGAACACTGAGTAACACTGGTGCTAAGCAAAAATCTTTTGTTGCTGACTTCAATGGAAATTGCCAAATGTTTCACTGTTGTTATTACTAATAACAACTAGAAACATTGCCATACTTAAAGGGAAATAACTCCATAAAGTAGGTGTTGTGATCTCCATTTTAGAGATGAGAAAATGAACAGAAATATGAATTCCTAATAAACAATGACTATTAAGGAAATCTCTTATTCTTAGCTCACTTCATCCCCCCTGCCCCTTCTGGGGAATGAGCCTAGGGGTGCTCTATCCTGGGCTACATTCCCTAGCACCTTTTATTTTCAAGACAGGTTTTCACTAAATTGCCCAGATAGCCTCTCCTTTCTCAGCCTCCAGTTGCTAGGATTAAAGGCATACACCACTGCACCCCTTGCTCACTACCTATTTTAAAGTCAGGAATGGATGTTGAATTTTGAAAAAAATTTCTTGCATCTGAGATCTTAGGCTTTTATTAAGGTAACAAATTAATAGATTTTTTTTTTCAAATGTTAATCATCTTTACATTCCTAGAATGAAAGAATGTTATTAAGACAGATTTTTAAACACTGTTGGATTTGGTTTTATGTTTGTAGGGTTTTGTATATATGTAATTGTATTTAAGGAAAAATAGGAAACACTGGATAGAACAGTCCACCACTGATAAAAATCAGTATAAGGTAAAAAGTAAAAACATTAACTAGATGCTCAAAAAAAGCCAAACCCTGGCTGGGAGTGTAGCTCAGGTAGAGCATATGCTCCAAGTGTTCATTGTCTAGCACCAAAAATGAAAAAAAATTAAACCCTAACTACCTTGCTAGGCATGATGGTGCAAACCTATAATCTCAGCAACTCAGGAGGCTGAGGCAGGAGAATGGCAAGTTGGAGGCTAGCCTCAGCAGCAACATAGTGAGACCCTGTCTCAAAAATAAAAAGGGCCGGGCACAGTGGCGTAGGCCTGTAATCCCAGTGGCTTGGGAGACTCAGGAGGATTGTGAGTTTAAAGCCAGCTTCAGCAATTTAGTGAGGCCCTAAGCAACTCAGTGAGACCCTGTCTCTAAATAAAATACAAAAGGCTGGAGATGTGGCTCAGTGGTTAAGGGCCCCTAGGTTCAATCCCTGGTTACTCCCCCGCTCCCCCAAAAAGGTCTGGGATATAGCTCAGTGGTACAGCACCCTGTGTTCAATCCTTAGTTTTCAAAAACAAACAAAACACCAAACTACCTTATATATATTCACACTATTAAAATACAATCTCTCCTTGAGTCAGAATAAGGAAGATAACCTGACGTAAAAGAACATTTTGTAGTTCGAAAACTTTGCTGATAGCTTCTCAAATCTACTTTGCCTTGTGCTACTCCAAACATCCTAGTCTCTCTCCTTTAGATGCATCATTTCTAAGATTACATGGCAAATATCTAAGGATTGGAGGAAATCAGTGTCACGAACACAAGTACTCATTTATAATAAGTTTAGATTACCCAGAGAAAGGGACTGGGCCTAAACAAGAGAGAAAATGTTGTCACAGATTTATAGGGATTTCAGGATTACTATATTCCTTTAGATTGATGGTACACACTGGGTGTGGTGCTAGAATCCTAGTTACTCAGGAAACTTGAGGAACACAAGTTTGAGGTCAGCCTAGGCAACTTAGAGCCTGTCTCAAAAAAAAAAAAAAACTGTCTGGGGATGTAGCTCAGTGGTAGAGTGTCACTGGGTTCAATCCCCAGTATTGCCAAAGGAAAAAAAATTGCTCATACAATGTATCTCTGGAAGGAATACAAACGCATTATAAAAGGGAGCTACACAAAACCAGAGTGCGTAGGCTTCAGGGTATCCAAAGACTCATTATGGTTTAGGGCATAGAAGTCAATATTCCTAATCATAATTTGCTTTTGGTAATGCAGAAAAGGACTTCTCAGGGCCATGAAGCCTAGTCTTGGTTCATTGCTTAGCAGTATCCAAAACCTAGTCATCTATGCATTCCATTCATCTTGAAAATAAAAGCCCTGAGCACCTAGAACAGTGCCCAATACACAACAATATACACCCAAACCAGGAATTCTGAATTGGGTTTGGGTTGTATGTAGTGGCTGTGTCCTTCCAACTTTATCCTTTGTTTTGGTGCTGAGGACTGAACCCAGGGCCTTGAGCCTGCTAAGTACATATTCTACCATGAAGCTACACCCCCCAGTCCCTGAATTTACTGATAGGAAGTAGTTTTATTTCACTTTGGTTACTATCAACTGTAGGAAGTACCCCCCAAAAGATGGCTTACTGGCAATGGATAATATATCCTGAGGGCACATTTACCTTTAAACATTTTTCCACTATACAGAGATAAAAGCAATTTATTTTGCTGGAACATACCTCTAAAAGCCAGTCTAGAAGTATTGACCTCATCTGTGGTTCCAAGTCAGAATGTAGAACTTCAAAATGCTTGTCATGAACATATCTGCTCTCTTTTTTTAGCATGTTTAGCCAGACCTCCTTTGAACATCCCCAGCTATGGGAAGGGGGAAAACAGAATTTAAATTATGTGATCTAAGCAATATATAAACTCTGTTTACATAGATAAATCTAACTTTCAGTTAGAATCTGAAAGAAGCTCTTAAATTAGAAAAAGATTTCTACCTTAATTTTTAGAAACTATTTCTTTTGAATGAGAAATAAAAGCCTAAAATAATCAGGAACTTAGATCATGATCATGTAAGTTGATAATTTTCAAAGAATGCTTCTTCATTCCACTTATAAAAGGGTACTGTTTCAGATAACCATGTTTTCTGAAGAGCAATTCTAAAAAGCTAAATATTGACAGCATATGAACACAGTGAAGGCAAGTCTTAATAGCTGCAAACAGATCATCAACAGTAGAGTCACCTACAGTTGGGGAAAGGTAGGACAGAGTTTAGGGGAGGAGGATTGATGTGTTTAAATATCTGATTTCATGAATTTACTTATCAAAGTCAAACACAAGTTACTACTCTATATGTCTTATGTAGGCTGTACCTCTTAGTCATACTCATGGACTAGAAAAAAGAATTAAGTATAGGCCTTACTAAGCTTGGTAAGCATACATCAATTGAAAATGCTGTCCATGTTAAAATACTTTCATCTTAATTTAGATAAGTTCCATTAAAATTCAGTTCTGCCAAGTCTGATAGTATTTAGGAAGCAAATGAAAATAGTTTTATAGAATGAGTGTTTTAAATACCCATGTCATTTGCAAATAGCAGTACTCAGATTAAAATATGTGAATTATTAATCAAGAAAGCAATTTTTGAACAAGTTTGTTTTATAATAAAGACAAAAGATAATATATGACACTATTCTGTACAGTTTAATCTTTGCTATAAATTTTCTTACCTTAAATCTGGCAAAGGTGAAGGATTAATAAAAAGATTTTTAAATCTGTAATTTGTAAATCTGGAAAAGTCACTTGTTTCTATTTCTTTGTGGGGTGTTTCAATGATAATGCAAGGACTGATTCCCCCGGATAATACAGGTGGCCAACAATTCTGTCATTAAAAGAAAAAAAAGATCTATTTGTGTAACAGGAAACCTTAGCTTTTGTCCTGGATCTTTCATAAATGAAAGTTAATATTTCTAAACCATCTGTAGTTTCAGCTGACATAGCTGACAGTTAGCTAATCTGACATTCATATTTTATAAAAAGCTATAAAACTCATTTTGATATTCATAACATAACAAAGTTTTAGATAAAATATAGTTCTGGTAATACAAGACATAAGGTATTGAAAGAGTAATAACAAAATGCTTCTGTAATATAAGACACCAGTCACTTTGAAGGTAAGAAGCAAGAATACCTTTTTAAATTAAAACAACAAAACAGCTCTTTTGAAGTTAAGCCTTTCCCATAATTTAGAATACTTAAAGGCAGAAACCTTAAAAATGGAACCGAGTGAAATGGATCACTTAGGGGACCCTTTCTTCAATAATGCTGGTTTCAAAGGGAATCACTGTCTCTAAGGCTGTCCATATAACACATAGGAAGAAGAGGTAGCAAAGGGCTGGGTGCCAGGCTGTCAGTGATCTAACATTCTATTTATGCCAAAGCAGCAGCTATTAGGACCCTTTGCTACAGTATGAGAGGGAACAAAGAACAGTATATCAGGCAGATTAGGCGGGCCCTGGTGCACCAGTCAGCTCCAAGAGGAGGGATTTACAAAAAGAAACCAGCTGCTTTAAGGCAAATTTACTGTGCAGCTGTGGTTGAATTCGGGAACATATAAATGTCCTTCCTTGCTGGCCTCCGGGGGCATTAAAGGTAAAAATATTAGAGGAGTCTTTCTATTGCAAAGCAATAATACCATTCTACTCATTTGTCCTCTCCTGCATTTGTTTCTCCCAAACCCACCCAGTCCAGTTCTGCATTACCCTAATCTCATATTGATGTTTCTTGGTGACCTCCTCTCTTCTTTTTTTTACATCCTGAAAAATAGAAAAGACCATTGATTGGTAAGCAAAGGTCATAGCAAGGAATTTCCTCCCTCCCTCTTTCTTTCCTCTTAACTCACCTGTGCTGTTTTTCTCTTCTTGGCCTGGATTATCTGGATTTCTTGGGGAGAGTCTGGCTGGCTGGGCTGAGCATGCTGCTTAGCTTGTAAACGGCTACTGTAGTGAATTTTTAAAAAGGAAGTTTAATTAGTAAGTCATGTGTTTCAAAAGTAGCAGCTAATTTTGAAGCATGTCTCTAATACAAATATTACCTGCGTCTTGACATTCTTTTTCAGGTGTATGAAACCTCCTGAAGGAGTGGGGGTAGAAAAACCAGAGTTAAGTACACAGTCATCCATATTTTCCAAGTGCCCATTAGAACTGATGCAGAGGTTAAAGTTAAGTCCTTCAGAAGGCAGCCTGGGTCATTTTACCATGCTGTCTTCTGCACTATATTAGTTATCTCATAGTAATTAATTTTGCACACATTTCCTGAACTGAATGTACAGCCAGAACGCGAACGTCTTCAAAAAATTTACAAAGCACCTCCAGCACCCTAAAAGCACAGGGTGGCAGATCTCCCCCAAACGAGTTTTTCTGGGTCCTCCACCCTCTCTCCATATATCCAGAGTGGAACTGGGGCAGCGCTCCCACATCCCCCTCCCGTCCTGGACGGACTGCGCCGAGAGGGGGTTGTGGAGGCGAAACGCAGTGGAGAAGCCGGTTCCGCGCCAATTTGGAGAGCGGCAGTGGCGGGGAAGCAGGGGGCGGAGGGAACTGAGACTGGTGTCACGTCCTCCAGTCTCCTTTCCCTCCTTCCCAAACCCATCAGGCTCTGCCCGCCACTTGGAGGGGCACCAAGATTTTAGCTCTAGCTGGTGGATGGAGGGAAGGAAAAGGAGTTTAAAGAAAGCGGGAAATGGGGCAGGTCAGTAACTTTCTCCCCGTGAAGGGAACCCAGATCCCCATCCTCTCTCCCACGAAGAGCTCCCCAAATGGGGGCTGGATAGAGGAACCCGTGGAATGAGGGGTTTTGCTGTGGCCTCTGTTAGGGGCTGCCCTCCACTCCACCACCGCTTCCCCATCCCCTGCCAAGGGTCCTGCCAAGATCGGAACTCGGGGGCCCATTCTCCCCATTCACCTCGTTTTCTGCCTTCCCACCTCCCTTCCCTCAAGGCTCCCGCCCGTAGGGTGTCCCAGGCTTTCTTTCCTCCAGCATCCCCCCTAAACCCAGCAACTCCTCACCGCCAGCCCCGCTACCGCTCCGCTCAGCTGGCGCCGGCGCCAACCCAATATATAGGCCGAGCCGGGCCCGCCCCGCACGCATGCGCCTCAGACTGACACCTCCGACTGCGCGCTATCCTCCCCGGTCCGCGCGCGCGCCCCTCCCGCCTGCGCACCGCGCCCTGCCATCAGTGCGCGCGGACGCACCGCGAGTGACTGCAGGGTCTGCTCGTTCAGGCCCGCGTCCAACGTTCCCAGCGCTCCACTTCACCTGCCCGCGCGGCCGGAAAGCTGCAAGGAGTCTCGCAGAGGCTCCTCCTCCAGGTTGGCTTCTAACCGCTTGGCTCCCGCATCTCCCGCCAGTTTGCTTATTTCCCCTCCCACTGTAACTCCCGAATCTTGGAGACTTCGAGCGGTTCAGTCCCGGCGTTCACCCAGGGATAGGTGCCTTGGGTGAGCACAGAATGGCCATGAGGTGGCCAACCTCTGTTGCGCCCTGGTTGTCCCGGCAGGGCCTTAGAAAGCCAAGTCTTTGGTGGGAGACGCGGGGACCAGGAGGGCCCGCCCCTCCGGGAGGAGCAAAGCTTCGGCTGACAAGCTGGCCAATGGGAGGCGAGAACTACTGCACAACGTGGAGCGGCTGCAGAATGTAAACACAGCCCCCGCGCTGCGGGCCACGTGCGCTCTAGCGCGCCGCAGCTCCTGGCTGGCGCTGCCCTCCCGGCTAAGGTACGTATCAACCCTAACTTCCCGGTTCCTGCTACGCCGACCCGGTTACCCTCTCCGAGGGTGGGATTCTCTCCCAGCAGCCGCCCAGCTCCTACCCTGCAGCTCGAATCCCGCAGTCCCCGCGCGGGAAACGCTGGCGCCACGCTGATTCTTTCTTTTCTCTTCCTAGCCTTCAATTCCAGGGCACCGAGGGCAGAACCCCTCTCTGGAGAGATTAAGAAGCTTTCCTCATCCCCACGAGTGTTGTGGCCCTCCAAGAACCCAGCCGGGGGGTGAACAGCTAAAACCACGTGCAGGCCCCTGGCCCGCCCGCCGCGTCCCGCCCCGCCCTGCTGCCAGCGCGCCCTGCGGAGCCCGCGCGAGCCGCCTAGGCGGGAGGGAGCCGCCCTGCGCGCTAATGGGAGGCGGCGAATCCCGCTCTTTTCCTTTCCTTTATTCCTATATTTAAGTTTATGGGTCTCCTGGCTACTTCTCTTAGCGCTCCCATCCCTGCGCCCCCTTGCACTTCTCCGATTCGGACACGCAAGTTTTGCGGCGGGAGACAGTTCCCGGAACAAAGACCTCTGGGTCAGAGGAGCCGTTTGAAGGCTTCCTGGAACCGTGGCAGCTCAAGTTGCAAGTCAACTGGGCGCTTTTCTGTCCTGGCCTGGATGAGTCGTGGGAGAGAGCAGAGAGAAGACCCCACACACGATCCCCGCAAAGGCCTCTCCAGAGACTGACCCAGAGGCGGCCCGCCAGAGGGACCCTGGCTCCCAGTCCAGGCTTTTTTTGCTGCTCCGCTCGTTAGGGCCCCAGATCTTAGAAACCAGCGCTTTTGGGACAGGCAAAATCCTTTCTCACAGTTTCCCTTTCGATTCTTAGGACAGTCTCATGCTAGCCAAAGAATGATTTCCCTTCCAATTTTACACGGAATAGCCCTGCCCAGTTTGACATAGAAACAAGAAGTCCATGCCTTGTCTGTTTCAAGAAACTTTATATCATTCATAATGCTTATGATGGCTCCCTTTTGCGGTCGCTCAAACCCTTTCCTATGTAAAGCTTAGCAGTCTAACTCATGATGTCAGAAAGGGAGGGTGTCTTCCAACAAGTATGTTTTAGTCCAGTATGAGCAAAACTGGTGACCTGTATGAGTGAAGTTGATCATTAAAATATGCTGAAAACCAGGGATGTCATTAACATTTGTGGGATTAATCTTTGAGTACTGTGTGCCCAGCATTGGCATACACTAAATTAATTGTAAGCAAGGCATTGTTATTAGACATGTACTTGGTCTTATCCTTGACTATTATATGAACCAAGTGCAATTGTAGTAAGGAAGAAATTAGAGTGGTCCCCAAACAGCTTTGTAAATGAAGGAATGGGGTGAATGCTACCATTTTATAAATACCTGGTTAGTGGACAAATGGGTCTGTAAAAACCATGGGCTTTCAGACCAACTAAATTCCAGTCTTGTGCTGCTGCAAGTTACCAATCCCTCTAACATGGGTTTTCTCTAGAAAAGTTGTAAGTAGGCATTCATCTCAAAGGTTATTTTATTTGTTTGTTGCTTTTTTTTTTTTTTGGAACTAGGGGTTGAACCCAGAGCTTTTTGCAAATGCAAGGCAGATGCTTTGCCACTGAGCTACATCCCAGCCCTCAATGGTTATTTTAATGATTAAATTTAATAATGTACATAGAGACCTCCCTATGTGTACCTGTCACAAGGTATGGATGCTCAATAAGTACTAGTTCTTCTTACTCTTAACTTCTCTTATTCACCTCCCCTTACCAGTAGAAATTATAATTCAGCATTCTGAATAAAATAGAAAGCTGAGTTATAAAATTTATGTTTCCCAGAATTTTGTTCATGTAGTTATCCTTTGTTGGACACCTATTGGGAGGGTCATCGTTCAATATGTCATCTTTTTTATAATTTTATGTGCTCATTTTTTGACTTCCTCTTTTTCCAGTCATCCCAGTTTTAAAATTCACCTACTTTGAAACATATGAAATTCCTTTATACTTTTTAATAATTTTAGAAATTTTGGCTTTTTCTTTCTTGTACTGGCGATTGAATCCAACACCTTGTGCACGCTAGGCAAGTGACCTACCACTAACCTACATTCCCAGCCCTTTTTATTTTGAGACAGGGTCTCACTGAGTTGTCAAGGTTGACCTCAAACTTGATATCCTCTTGCCTCAGCCTCCCAAGTAGCTGAGATTATAGGAATGTACCCCTTTATCTAGCCAGAAGTCTTGACATTTTCTAAAGTATATTTTCCCTGTTGTGTATGTCCTAAAATGCCATGGCAAATAAACTCTTGACCTCTGTAGTGCTTCATTTGCACAATGCTTTTTATTCCTGTTTATTTTTGTGAGGGTGACGGTAAGATTTTTTTTTGGGGGGGGGGGGGGGAAAGTGTTGGTTCTGGGATCAAACCCAGGAACTCTGAGCTACATCTTCAGCCTTTTTACTAGTTTTTGTTTAGAGATAGGATCTTGCTAAGTTGCTGCGGCTGGCCTGAAATTTGTGATTCCCTGCCTAAGAATGGCTGGGATTATGGGCATGTACCACTCTGTCTGGCCCAGAAATATTCTTTTTCTTCTCTCTTTTATTTATTTATTATTCTAATTTGTTATATATGACAGCAGAATGCATTACAATTCATATGACATATATAGAGCACAATTTTTCATATCTGTTGGGTGTGTGGGAGACTCCCCCTTCCTGGAGAACATCTTGGAATCCCTTACTCCTCCCGTACCTCTCCAAAGGGCGCCAAGCCAAGAACACCAAATTCAAAGGTTTCCTCCACCAATCCCTGCAGGACACAATGTCCGCTTGCTGAGTCACCCTACCAATCAGCACCCACCATGTGCCCTGTGCAACCCTTCTTTAGCCAAAGCTTGTAAGCACATGTTCCTCTCTCTCTTTCTGCCCCCCTCCTCTTCTCTCTGCTCTCTACTTCTCCTTTGAGCAGCCACCCAATAAAATCTCTTGGTTGAATCTCTGTCTTGAGTGAGTCACTCGCCTTTCAATATCTTTGGTTTTATACAAAGTAGTCACACCATTCGTGTCTTCATACATTTACTCAGGGTAATGATGTCCATCTCATTCCACCATTTCTTTTTACCCCCATGTCCCCTTCCTTTCCCTCCCACACCTTTGCCCTACTCCCCCTCCCAAACCCTCTTTATATCAGAGAAAACATTCAACTTTTGGTTTTTGGGATTGACTAACTTCACTTAGCATTATATTCTCCAAATCCATCCATTTACCTGCAAATGCCATGATTTTATTCTCTTTTATTGCTGAGTAATATTCCATTGTGTATATATATACCACATTTTCTTTATCCATTCATCTACTGAAGGGCATCTAGGTTGGCTCCACAGTTTAGCTATTGTGAATTGTGCTGCTGTAAACATTGATGTGGCTGTGTCCCTTGCCATATGCTGTTTTTAAGTCCTTTGGGTATAGACTGAGGAGTGGGATAGCTGAGTCAAATGGTGGTTCCATTCCCAGATTTCCAATCTCCATACTGCTTTCCATATTGGCTGCACTAATTTGTAGTCCTACCAGCAGTGTATGAGTGTGCCTTTTCCCCCCACATCCTTGCCAACAACTAATTGTTGTTTGTATGCATTTTGACTGGAGTGAGATGAAATCTTAAGAGTAGTTTTGATTTGCATTTTTCTAATTGCTACAGATGTTGAACCTTTTTTAATATGTTTGTTGATTGATTGTATATCCTCTTCTGAGAAGTCTCTGTTCGGTTCCTTGGCCCATTTATTGATTGGGCTATTTTTTTGGTGCTTAGTTTTTGAGTTCTTTATATACCCTAGAAATCAGTGCTCTATCTGATGTGTGGAGTGATAAAAATTTGCTCCCAAAATGTAGGCTCTCTATTCACCTCACTGATTGTTTCTTTTGCTGAGAAGAAACTTTTTAGTTTGAGTCCATCCCATTTACTGATTTTTTATTTTAATTTTTGCATTATAGGAGTCTTATTAAGGAAGTAGGGGCCTAACTGACATGATGGAGATTTAGTCAGCCCAGAAATATTCTTGAAAGAACAGATTTTTTTAAAAAAAAAAAATCAAGCTGGGTATGGTGGTATGCAACTTTCCCAGCTGTTAGTGAGGCCAGGGTGGGAGGATCACTAAAGCCAAGAGGTTTGAAACCAGCCTGTACAACATAGCAAGACCCTGTCTCAAAACAAGACAAAAAAAAAAAAAATCAGGCTCAGCCTACCCATTTCTTGCTTCTGTGCCTTTACTATACCTCCTGTGTGTAGTCTTTGTGCTGTGTGTTTCCCCTCTCACAATACTCCAGCTAGGTCTTGGAC